TTCCAACCTTAATGATTCTATGATAAAAAAGGAGAGCTAAGCTGGGTGCTAAAGTACTCATCAGTTTGTTCCCTTGGAATAATAGAGCCTCAGGTCCATGCAGGCCCTGACAAAAAAAAAAAAAAAAAAAAAAAAATCTGATTCCTCTATGACAGAGCAATTTTTTGTTGTTTCATTCGTGAATTATTTTCTACAAGTGATTTATTTCTACATGTTTTATTGAGTATTATGCAGCTTTCTACATCAGTTCTAAAGATTTTCTGAACAAGAGAAGAAAATCATCTGGGCCTTAGAAGCAAACAGGTTAAAAAAAAAAATAAATAAAAAAGTAAAAGCAAGCTTTCTACCTCGTGTAGTGTATCCTCCGATAACGTAGATCTTGCCCTTGCATTCACAAGCTGAGAATTCTGCAAGAGGGTTTGGCATGGATGCTACAAAACTCCACCAGTCGTTTTCTGGGTTATAGCACTCTACGTTGGAAAGGGATTGACCACCGACGGCATAGAGCTTTCCATTTACAGCCAAAAGCTTAAAATTGGACCTGAAAGGGAAGATTGCAGCATTGAAATAAGTTGCATAGATGTACAGAAAAATACAGGAAAGAAAATTCTTCCTATCCAGGTTCCAAGATACTCATCATCCCTTAAAACTTGTTGCATCACTTCATATATTACAGGATCTGAACTCTTCTGTGCAAGCCCAAAATTCTGTAATTACACTGTAATTATTTAGGACAGTAACCAGTGACATTCTAGACGTTAATGATGTTGATGCTAAGACTGATGAATATTTAATTTTGGATTTCAGTCTGTCACAGCTTGAGCTCTAAATGTTTAGTTCACTAATGCGTTCAGTAGATGTCTAATTTTTACCAGGCTTTTAGTAAAGTACTTTTAGTAGAGAAAAACATATTATATATACACACAGTCAAGGACGTTATTTTAGTTAAAATTGCAGAAATTTCAAACAAGACTTGACGAATGCCTAAGAACATGTACTCATCTTTGTCCGTAACACAGAATCTCTTTAATAACCCTAATCAACAAAAATTTTAAGCAGTACACATTGAATCATGTTCTGCAAAAGAAGGAAGAGAGAACCTCCTGTACCTCATTCAGCATTAAACTACCCAATACATCCTCAGTCGGACTGAAGCAAGATATATCTGTATAATGTTCCACCCATAGATGAAAGAAATATATTGCACTCCACAGGCAATGCCCTGTTCTTTTATTTCTTATTTTGTTCCATTATGCTGTTACATTTCACGCATGGCAAAGGGCAACTTTCTAATTACTGAAGCGCAAGAAGCTTGATCTTACGCTTTTAAGATAATACAGGCAGAAACAAATAGACTATGGATATTAAAGGCGCAAATATGTGGGAAGAAGGAGGACTTGAAGACAGAGGGCTTGCATGCTCAGCTATTCCTTCCAGCTATGGAAGCTGGTCTAATAAAAGACGAGCTCTTCCTCTCCTCAGAAACAGTCTCAGTGCCTAGAAAGGTTGTTGCTTCTCTACTGCTGAGCCAAACTGAGATTTTACCATACAGTATCCCAATTAACTAGATGTGTGAAAGTCACTGGAGTGCACCAGCTCAGCATAAAGCCAATGAGGGGAATGCCTTATGTCTGTAAAACTGAAGTGGTGCTTTAGACTTGCACTGGCCTGCTGAGCAGTAAAGTGAGTTTCACTCTGCATGAATCCAAGATTCAAAACTTACCGCTAAGTAGTTTTGCAGGCTTTTGTCTGGACAAAATGAACCCTGCTAGCAGCAGACTGCCCTGCAATTTCTTTTTATTAAATATATTTGGAAAAAGAATTTGTTTCCACATGGAATCATTTTGTTCTTGTCATCCTGATATAGCTTTGGAAACTAAAATGCTCCTTTGAAGGAATTAATTGTTTTTTATTCTTTTTTTTTTTTTTTCCTGACATTTATGATTAGGTCATTCTGTTCGTCTCCTCTCTACAGCCATTATGTTTTCCGTCTTAAGAGAATCCAGAATAAAATGGCAATCAATAGTGGGTATGAAATGAGCATAATTACTCGCAAAACATTGTTATTTTTAAAGCAATGTACCTGTTCTAAAAGTTACAGTGGGGAAAAAAAAATAAATCTACAAATTAACAAAGGAACAAAACCACAACATGTAAATGCATTTTCCAAGCAATCTTTTAAAACATAAAGTATGTTAGAAAGTCTGTAACTCTGTGCCTATGATGGAGATGGTGGAGGATTTTTGGCTTACAAAATGCACACAGCATTTCCTTATTTGAAGATCTTCTAGCCACTTTTTAAACACACTAAAAGTAGTAGTCAGAACATTAAAGAATTCAGGTTTCCTAATTCACACACGCTTCTCTTGTTACCCCACAATTGTAGCCTCTTACTATTTTATCTGAATGGAAGTAATTCATCCAGTTTTTCCTTGAGGGCCTTTACATCACTGAATTGTTTGTTGCAGCATGCAGCACAGGCAAAACTAACCCGTGAAAGATGTATGGCACTATTTTTAACTTCAGTTATTCTAGAAGGAGGCCATCTACATTTGTGTCAGTCGTTTAACCACTTCCAACACTTGTTAAAATGGATGACATTCAGCAGAAGCACCCCAGATTTATGGAACACATTAACTATAAGGTTCATTTTACTCAAAAGTAGTCATAAGCATCCGTCAGCACACTTTATGTGAAAGTTTGGACAATGGCTCAATATGATATAAAAAACTTCTGCCATTCACCTTTCCATGCCAGTAACAGCAGGTGTTTTTATGGAGAGTGAACATTAGGAAATATTTAGTGTATTTTTACACTCTTTTAATGTGTTGGAGCAGCTGGAAACAAGGAAAGCAAACATTGAGCAACCAGCCAGCTCTCCACAACTAATAACTGTTCCATGGACTACAGCTTGGAAACAACAGAGCTGAACAGTCTGTCAGATTCAACTGTGATATAACTCCACTCACACCACTGAGTTACCTAAACCTGAGGGATCAAAAGTACAGTCCAAGTGCCAGGTGTAGTGTGTACCCTTCTGGTTGAGACAAGACAAGGTATAAGTTGTCTTCTGATGTTCCTCATTTCCTCTGAAAGGAACCGCAGGAACACAAGCAAGAGCGAGCTGTGGGGTTTTACCATAGTTGAAAATGTATTTTTCATTCAACAAAGAAAAGTGCAAAGCTCTATATACACAAAGGAAGAAAAATATAATGCACAAATGAAAAGGATCTAGAGGGCAGAGTACATAGCTTTCCGAATACAAGTTAACACTCAACAACTTGCAAAAAACCCTACATTGTTCTGGACTGCATTAACAGTATCTGCAAAACACCACTATCAAAGTGGCTATAAAGAGGACAGCAAGCACTCTTCTTGTTCACTGACAGATAACAATCATTCAGTACACAAGAAGAAAAAGTTAGCATAGATAGCAGAGAGGCCTTCCTGATCAGGGGTGGCTAAACATCGGAACAAGTTACCTGGGAGGAAGGAGGTTGGAATCTACATTGCCGGAGGGTTTCAAGAAGTTAGGTGTGTATTTGCAAGGTAAGCTTGGTCCTACTGTAGAACAGGTGGCTTGGGCTAACTAACCTGTGGTTCCTTCCTGCCAAATGATCAACTTTAACCTTAGACTTTCTCACAAATCAGATGACTGCTTTATTCTAGAGTTAAACCATTTACATCAGAGATGCAGAATCCTGAAAGCACAGTTACAAAGGCAATTCCAAAGTGTTTTACATTTTTTGCACAAACCACTTTTTTTATATTCCTTACATTAGTCTGCAGAGCACACTGCATCCAACATTTAACTTTGGAAGCATGTGATACATTTGTCATAAATATGACATGAACATTTCTAGCTTAAAAATTTTTGAAAAGTCTATTTTCCCCCAACACAGAGGAATTTTGAGTGAAAAATATATTAAAAAATGCGGAGAAGAGCAAAAAACAGAAGGTCTCCTAAACCACCACTATTCTCCAGAAGCATCCTGTCCCATTTTCCTGTAAGAGTTCTCAGAGTGGCAGCAGTTCAGGCACAGATTGCTCACAAACACACTGTTCCACATGCACGTGTATAATCCCAGCCAAGGCCTTACAAAGGTCTTCCAAGCCTGGAAGATATACCTGCCATGAGTGGGAAGGTTGTGAAAGAAAAAAAAGAAAAAGTGGAATATACAGCTGTAACTGGCACATGCAGTAGAAATCCTGTGAGTATATTACTTTTAAATAGCAAATTTCAACTGACAGCATCAATATAAAGAAAAGTATGGAAAGGTATTGAAGGGCATTACTTGAACAGTTCCCAATGCACTTTGTTACTTTCTTGTCCCCGAAGACCACAAGTGGTCTTGGGCAACTCTTACATGAAGTTTCTTCCACAAAGAAGTCCAGGTCATTCTCTGAAGACACTATCCCAAGTACAGGAAGATCTCTAGAATGAAAAGATGTGGAAACTGTCATCTGTTATGGACTACTTGTGACCAGCACTAGATTTAGCCCTCATATTATAAGAAATTCTAGGCTCAGTTACAAGCTTCCTGTATGAGCCTCAGAAAATTGTTTTATCTCCCTTGTGTATGCGTAAATTTGGAATAACACTTTCTCAAGCTTACATGGCCATCACAAGAATAATATACAGGAGTTACCTATCGTGAACATATTTGAAACTACGGTTATAAGACCTCTAGATCTAGAAAGAAATCTTACAGCTGTAACCTAAACCAGAATGACTGCTAAGTATTCAGTATATATCTGATGCCTTTTGCCTTCTACTTAGAAGTCAGGGCTATTTCATCTATTCATGTTTATAGAAGTCCAGCATCCTGGGATTCTATATTACAACAATTCAAATAATTAAAGATAAAAATATAATAGAATTTACAAGGTTTGTTGAGGGCAGAGTACTTAATTGTATTAACAGCAGATCAGCACAATTAGTTCCATAATTCCTCAGCCTTCCCTTGAGGCCAACATATGCATCCATTCACATAGGCCAAATCCAGATACTCTACTGTCTGAAGTCAAACCAACCATGGGAACCAGAAGCCTCCCTCAAGGTATGTAAAAAATTCATCCATGGGATGTAATTATATCAGCTGACATAAATTAATTTGGCAGACAGTCACGTAACTGTAATTCCTAAGCAGCACGCTGGGCAACTGCCCTGCCTATTTTACTACAGCATAACAAACTAAAAATACAATGCCAAGCAAACTGCAGGTCTAATTGCAGCACATCTGTGAGGCAGACAAGCATCAGTGCTGCTCATGTTGAATGCAAAATCCCTGATCCTAAAAATTTCCCTGCTCTTGGCTCCTACAGTGCAGGCCATCCCTTCCCGTGTTCTGGCCACAAAACGTCAAGCAGGTCATCAGAGAGCTGAAATGTTATGTCAGATAGAAAAAGAGAATAATTAATAACTTCAGAGTTGAGACTTCATGAAGATGTTAAAGTCAAAAACGTGTTTTGTGAAGGGGTCAGCACAGTTGCCATGAACAAAACTTCCCCTGATTATCATTCAGGGAGCAACATACTGCTGCTACGTTGCAGTCTAGGCATAGATGTAATTCTGGGTTCTTTTTGTCCTGCAACAACTACCAAGAAATGTAAGAATAGAGACTATTCCAAAAATATCCATTCACATGCTACTTTTCTGCAACAATTCGCCAATGTGAAATTCTATGCTAAGGAATACCTTGCTGTCACCTGTGGGCTTCAAGGTTAAGTTGGTATGGCAGTGCAGTCAAAAATAGCAATATAAGGAGAAAATATCCATGTGTTTATTTCAGATGCAATGACTCTATATCCTAGAAAAAATGGGAATGTGTGGGTGGAAAAAGGCTGATTCAGAGGCTGTAAGGTAAAAAAAGGGCTTCGAAAAAGCACTTTTACAAAGCCCTCATTTGCCATGCTGCAGAATCATTGCACGTAATAACATCTCTCTCACTATTGCACATCATCACACAGACCAATGCCAAAACCTTGTAACCTGGTCACCAGGGGGTTTCTATGTTTAAGCTAATTTCCAGTGGAGATCCTGTGTGGGCTGACCCCATCATCCTTTTCTACCAAGGCCAACGTGCTCTCAGTTGCGCTCATGTAGGCAAGACTGCCAAGGAGAGGACAGCTAAAACATCTCAGTTCCACAGGCACCTTGGTGAAGACTGCTTATAGGCTCAGTTTCTAAGAAATATGTCTACAAGAAAAGATGTTTGCAGTGTTTAATTCTAAACACTCATTTTACAGACAAAATTTTTCACAACAACGTTCCAAGAAGCCAGAAATACTGAAAAAAAAAAAAAGCTTCTGATCAATTCCGATGACTGATTATGGAAGCAATAATTTCCATGAAATTCTCACAACAATACAGTGGGGAAAAAAAAAAGTGACATGGGAAAGAACTAATTTTAGGTCAAACCTTTGTTTTAAGGGGGTTTAGCTGGCAAGAGCCAAATAGAGACTGGAATAGAGACAGCAGTTTTACTACCCAGATATAAAGCATTTATGCCAGTGGTTTGGGTCTCTGCATGCTCTTTGAATTTACTGGATGGAGAAGAGAATTTCCATTCTACAGTCAATATTGGCTTTCTTACTTGTTCGTTTTCAGCCAGAGAAGATAAAAAATTTAAACTTTTTCTCTAAAATGGAAACAACGAGGAAGTTAAGGCTGGATAACAGAAACGTTTTGTTTCAGTGAAGCAAAAGGCTCTGCAGTGTGATTAAGGTAGAACAGCCACAACCTTGGCCAGGAAGATGGCGTCTCTTCTTGAGTCTCCCTCAAGACTAGCTCTCTATTCTTCTTTTAAATGTAAATTATACAAGTGTTTCTGAATACTACCTTAAATGTAAATGTCACACAAACAATTCAAAAATATAAAGGAAAAACGCAAAATGGTCAAAATAATGAATAATTCCCAGATCCAAATATTTGCATAAAGTGAGAAATTTCTCACAATCTTCCTGACGTTTTTCTGGTGAATATTACACTGAAATGTAGGCTTACAAAACATTCAGATTTTTATGAAAGTACAAACCAATGAAAAACTGCTCCAACTAAATTTTTCCAGCCATCTCTAGATCTGATAGATTGTACAACCCCACTAAGAGCAGGAAAACTGTACTGGAGTTAAAATATACCACAAAGAAAGTAGGAGAATAATTTTGTCTTTGGGATTTTTTTAAAAATATGTATTATTGTAAAGAGAATTTCTACTACCAGAGAGACAGCTGTTTGGAGAGGCTGGCTCCTTCTACACAACAACTTAAAGGAAAGGGGGAGCCACCACCATTTCACACCAAGGTGAATGATCACACATTTTGGAGGGCCATAGCACAGTCCTCCTCTGCTGACACCTCGCTCATGTTCTCCTGTACCTGAGGCCCTAACTACCAGCATTTACGCTACAAAGTCCCGTCTCCCTCACCTTTCCCTTGCCACAGCAGCTCCCTGCGCCATGCAGAAGGGACCCTTCATCAGGAGAGTGGCCGCAGCATGATGCTGCAGTGGGATGACTGCTGCCAGCAAGGCCAAGGTTTGCCAGGCCTGCCCAGTGGCACACTGCCAAGCCATCGCCAAGCACTATGGCCCTTCCCACCACACAATGCAAGAGATGCGGGTGATCCACAGCACAGAGACAGATCTGAATCACTTCTGGTAATGCTGAGTCCAGTCAACACCACATGACTCAACAGGGTCTATTTGGCCAAAATACATGGGACACACATGTATTTCAGGGAGCAATGGTTACCTCTTCTGGTTCATTGAAGCCAGCTGACTCCACTCATTGAGGCAAGGGTTGTAACAATGGGCAGCCGAAATCTCCTGGCTGGTGATCCTGTAGCCCCCAACGATGAACAGGTAGTTGTCCAACATCGCCGACCCATAGCCTCGGACGTTCACCAGATCAGGGGGCAGGTTGTTGGCCAGGGGCAGCCACCTCTGCGCTTCCTCATCATACCTCAGCATAGACCAGGGGGCTTCCACCTGAGGGTGACAGCCCGGAGGCAGACCCAGGGAGGAGGCACCCATGAAGTCCCCGATGGCCACGAGGGTGGCACTGCCCCTCATCCGCCTCTCCTTCAAGTGCTGCTGGAGAGCGTGGGGCAGGAGGAGATGTGGCCGGGCATCGGGCCTCCGCAGCACCTGATGGTAATGGGTGGCCATGAAGTCTAGACAGGCATCGTGCAAGTCCTGGAGACCATAGACCTGAGCCAGGCGGTGCAGCTCGAAGCAGTTGCCCAGCCTCACCTGGGAGAGGAGCAGGCGGAGCAAGGGGGTGACCTGCAGGTAGGACGCGGCCTCCACCAGCTCCTCCAGCAAAGGGGGCTCCTCATCGCCCCCCTCCTCCTGCTCCAGCCTGGCCAGGCAGGAGGTGTTGATGAAGTCCAGCACCAGCTCCAGCCCCAGGGCGCTCAGCCCCCCGCGCAGCAGCTGCTCCTCCTGGCCCTGCCCTGCCTCCCGCATGCCCGAGCGGTAC